GTATGAGTCCATGCTGATATAAATAAATAAGTAAACAAAAGAAAAGAGATAGCTTTTTCTTACAGAATTCTGATAAATTTAAAAGAGATGATAGAAATAGAAAATTATAATCACAATTTTTGTCAGTAAGATTCATTAATGGATATTAAAATTAGTGGGCAAAAGGATGATGTGAAACAGAATATTTGCACAGTCTCAAAAATTCTCTCCACAAGGTGCTTATACATTACACAAGGAAAAATATAACTTTAACTGGAGAAATCTGGTAGAAACCACTTTTACAGAGTAAGCAAAGTTTACATCCCCATCACAAGACCTATTAACATCATGTAGTCCTTGATATGATACACTGGAAACAGCAAACATCACTTCTGTGGTATTCTTGCCAAAATGCATAACCTCAATTTAATCAATAGAAACCATAAGACAATTACAAATTAAGGGGTAGTCCAAAAACAAAACAAAACAAAACTGGCCAATAGTCTTTCAAAAGTGACATGTAAGACAAAGACAGACTGAGAAGCTATTCCATATTGGAGAAGACTAAGGAGACATAACAACAGATGCAATATGTGATTGGGAATTAGATCCTGGACCAGAAAAAGGACATCAGTAGGACCACTGGCAAAATTGAAATAAAGTCAACAGATTTGTTATTAAGTTCCTGATAACTGCATTATTGTTATTTAACATGTTTATGATAGTGGAAGCTGAGTGAAGTATATATTGAAACTCTACTATTTTTGCAACTGTTTTGTAAGTTTAAAATTAGTTCACAACAAAAAACTTAAAAAATACCATTAATTCCTATTAATTCCTAGTTACCTGAGTTCTAGAAGGGGGCAACCACTCAATAGGAGGTCATAGAAGAGATTCAAGCCATAGGCGGGTGATTTTAATACATAGCCTTTAAGGTCTCCTTAAGCCATGAGACTTTCTTGAGAATGTTAACAGAATTCTTAGCTTAAAAGGTGAATTATAATATTCCTTACAAGCTTTGATCCAATGCTAATTCCCCTGAATTTGTAGAAAGTGAGCAGTTAGCTCCCTTTTACTCATTGAAGGAAATGATGCATGCTGTGAAGATCACAAAATGTGTTACAACACATCTGAGTTAGTTTGGAATGAAATTCCCTGAACTTCAACTTTCAAGACTTTAAATACTTGAGAACAAACTCACATTCATTGATGAATTTTTAGCTGTATCCCAAATAGCCACTATAAACTTTACAAATAATGACACAAAAGGCTCGAA